ATATCTATTATATATAACATATAAATAAAATTAAAGAAAAGCTAATCTGATTATTTTCTTTAAATAAAGTTACAAAATAAAAATGTATTAGCAAAGAAAAATACTAAGAGAGAAAAAGGGATATTTCTATGTTCTTGATCAGGTATTTTAATGGCACACTCTCCCGTTCAATGTGTATAACGACAACAGAGAAGAAACTATTACGACTAGTAGTACTGGAATTCCTTATACAAACTAGATCACTCCTATGTGTATATATATAACATGACAAACCAGTCCTAATACAATACTGATTCATTTGTACTTATCCTTCTGCACACAATCACGCCTTTCCAGCTATTCTGAAGTTCATGAAGGGGGGCTGGAAGTGCATTCCTAGCATCCAAAGACTTTAAAAAGGAAAAGAAAGACTGTGATTGCTTTTCAACCAAGTGTTAACACCAGGCAGAATCTACCGCTGCTGTACAGACACTGAGTAATCATGCCCTGTGCAGGTGGAGTGTGGGAGATGAAATCCACAGTCACTGAGGTTGCTGCGCAAGACACACACGCGCGCGCGCACACACACGCACGCACGCACGCATGCATGCACATGCACATGTCACTGAGGTTGCTGCGCAAGACACACACACACGCGCACACACACGCACGCACGCACGCGCGCGCACACACACACACACACCCCCTCCCCAGCAGCTGCTACTGCTGTTCCCGTCAATAGCCCCAACATCTGAAGGAGACAAGCTTTCTTCAAAGGTGAGCTGATTCAGCTGCACAAAGGTTTAAGGACATTTTTACTGACATTTTTGCTAATTATTTGCTGAATTACAGCTATCTCCTATTAAATAAAGGTAACATCTCAGTTGACTTCAGCTGGAACAGGAGTGGACCCCTAAGGACTGCCACCTGCTCTTTCAAATCAATGGCTAAACTTGTGTTGACTTCAATCATCCTGGAGCAAACAGACCTTTAAACCTAAGCCTCTCCCTCAAACAGAACTGGACTCAAATCAGCAGGTGTTTTGCTCAGAAAGGCTCCTGTATGAACTTGCAATTGCTAAAAACAGCCCCAGGACACATATAGATGCATACTGGCACTGCGCATCTTCTATTTAGTGTCTGTACTGAAATGTATTGTTGTAAGAGACCTAAACACCTCTGAGGATCTGAGCCTTTGCTCAGTCATCCTCTTCCTGGTCAGTATTAGGAAACATGAATATGTATGTGTATTTTTACTCATACATGAAACTAATTGTTCTAATGCTTGTTATTTGTTGGCATCCAGCCAACAGTCAGAAACGTGACATGGTAACTTTGAATCTAGGTTTTGGTTGTACTCCTGAATATGAATATTTGCATTTCAGAAAATGAAGACATTAAAAAGGTTGTGATTAATGGCCTAGAACTGACATCCAAAACGACAACAGGAGAGTGGACGAAGGTAGTAACAAATGTCAAAATAACTAGTAAAAGCAAACAAATAATAGTCCCTTCTGTTCTGCTTTTATTAATTGAACAGTAAATGACCATACAAGACATACAAACTTTTGGCTGGGGACCTGTATCACACAAAAATCAGGACAACCAATGAACAAATCAACCTCGAACAACTCCCATATGTGGAGCACATCAGGTTCTCTACCAAATTTGTTCAGTAACACTAAACAAAAAGGGGTTAAGGAAGATGTGCTATGAATACCATGAGGATTCCTGGGAGGGCTACACTTCAGGAACATTTCAACTTCTTAAACATTATCACATTAACACTTGTGAACCCTTATAAATACTGATGGATGATTCGGGAAGAGGGGATTATATGTGTTGCTCACCACAACTGATGATGTAGATCAGCCTATGGTTCCAAGAATGCTAATGTGGGGACGCTCTTCTCTTCTGTTTCCCCAAAAGATTTCACTCCATTGTTCCTCTAACACATTTTATTTTCCTTTTATTAAGTGCTATACAAAAGAACTCTCAACAATTCATTCCTCGCTGCTGATGAAATGCAACCTCTGAGGTCCCCCGATGTAACCCCTAACTGCTTATCATTACGGTACGTACACAGGAGATCACAGAAGCCACAGACAAACCACTCAACCATGCCGAGGCAACCAAAAGGTAAGCAAAACAGGTTTGGCTGATTATTACAGGCTGAATGAAGCTGGTGGCTGCAAGACGCTTACATTTCAGGATTGGTCAGCTCATCTATGCTGTGGCACAGATGTGTGCCTTTAATACTGGTTTGACTTTGTAAATACATTCTTCATGGCGATACACAACTATTAGGGTTATTACCATTTAATGTTTTCTAAACACCACAAGATACACAGCTTTGAAACAACACTTTATAGGAGCTGCAATGCCTGATTCTATCTTCTACTGGGAAAATGAGTTGGAGCTGCTTACAACAAAGATCTGGAAATATCCCCACTCAGCAGCTGGGCTGTAGAGGCAGATGACCTCCTATCGATCAGAGGGACAAGATGGAGCTGAACCTCACTGGGATGCTGAAAGGTCTCTTGCTAATCTGACATGTACATCAAATTTATAACAGTAATCTAATGGAAGACCTCACAAGTGCTTGTGGGCCACAGATTCTCTATTGTCCTGGTTTTGGCAGGGATAGAGTTAATTTCCTTCCTAGTAGCTGGTACAGTGCTGGGTTTTGGATTTAGGATGAAAATAATGTTGATAACACACCAATGTTTTAGTTGTTGCTAAGTCGTGCTTACACTAGTCAAACTTTTCAGCGCTTCCCATGCTCTACTGACTGAGAAGGCTGGAGGTGCACAAGAAGCTGGGAGGGGGCACAGCCAGGAGTGGTGAGCAATTGCATTGTGCATCACTTGCTTTGTATATTATTATTATCATTATTACATTATTATTGTTATTGTTATTATTATTTTATTTCAATTATTAAACTGTTTTTATCTCAACCCACGAGTTTTTCTCACTTCCACTTTTCCAATTCTCTCCCCTATCCCACTGGGGGGGGAGGGGAGTGAGCAAGCAGCTGTATGGCGCTTAGTTGCCGACTGACTGAGGTTAAACCACGACATCTATGAAGGTGCTTCTGGGTTCTTTCCTTTCCATCTAAAATATTTATATTTTAACCTAATAGAATACACAGGAATTTGGATAAAAAGCTCTTTTATCAACTATTAGTTGGTTGTTTCACAAATATTATAAATTGCATTGTATTTACTGTTGAATTTATATTGTACTCTAAGCATTTCTGTCCTTCAAATCCTACATATATTGTCAGCCATATTAGCTCAAGGCTAAATATCAAATCTTCATCATATTTCTCTCTTATGCTCCTTTTTTCATCCTCTGTCATAAGTCAGTTACATTAGTGGAAATCTGCATACAACCAATAGTGTTGCTTCAGAGGTACTGATATAACTGAACCAGAATCTAAACTGAAGTTCTTATTTATACCAACACTTTATATATTTTTAATGTTCATGGTCTAATTCATAAATTGGCCTTAGAGTGTTGTTTTCCTTTCTTTTCCTTTATGAAGATACGAGAATGGCACATTTGATGGGGGATTAAAAGAGAACTCCAAGATGAATTATTCAGGAGAGCAAACAATATTCTTTTCCAAAGAAAATGATAGCTTTTAGAAATACAGTACAGTATGTACAGAGCCTGTGTAAATACAGGAAAGCAAGAAAATAAGAATGAAGCAAACAACTAGTTTTGAAACAAAAAGATTATTTCTGATACCTAAATCATTGGCCTACATTTATTCATGTGAAACATCAATCCAGAATGTAGGGTGAAGTGCTGACCCTGTTAGTCAGTGACAAAATGCTCATTGACTTGAGGAGAACCAGGATTTCTTCCCATCAGTGTGAAATATTTACAGTTCCTTCAAATCCATTTTAGGCATTAAATTTAAATATATTTTGTTCCTTTTCTTTGTTTCCTCCTTCCCTTTTTGGGAAAAAAAAATAGGAAGACAGGAAGATAATCTGGCTACTCCAGTACTTGGCTTGATTTATCCTAAAACCTTTTTTGGCTTTATACTTACAAGGTTCTTTCTTATAAAAGAACAAACCCTTCTTTACTCAACAGAGGAAATCCTTCTGCCACAGCTGTATGGGAAAAACATGTATTGAGAAGAACAGATTTCAGAAAGGGGGGCTGGTCTTAAAAAGCTCTCAGAATATTGCGAAATAAAAGGATGCCACTCCATTTGCCATGGAGAATATGAAAGGTAGAGCAAATGACTGTGCTAGGCTCTGTGCTGCTGCGCCTGATCAGCTCCTTGTATCTAATCTAGGTAGTCATCATTTGTAAAATAGTAATTTAGGCTGACAAAACTGCATATTAATATAAGTAATGTACTGTACCTAGGGATCCTTGCCAGCAGTCTCATTTTGCAGGAGGATATAAAACTGAGATATCCTCACTCTTCAAGTCCTTCGTTGAGGGAGAGGTTGAAGAAGCAGAAGAAAATTCACACTGCTGTCGCCCCTGGCATTCCAGTTCTGTATTGGAAAAGCATAAATCACCTCAGTATCTTTCAAGAACTAAGTAAAAGATTTCAAAGACTCACATTCAAAACGTGTGGTCTTTCCCCCTCTATTCTATATTAGGGTAGTAAGTGTATTTACAGAAGATATCTGTCAATAGCTAAGTGGGTCCTTACAGGACGAGCCCAAGCATGGTGAATATTGCAAGCTAAACATCTTTATTTTCTGCCTGAGTGAACTGTTCTAACAGGGACTGAGTGCTTATCTTGCCTTCCACCACACCTCACCCATCCAGCGCAAAGGAGCTTGGAGGTGGACAAAAACAGCTAGGTACAGCATCAGCAGAAGCGAGTAGCAAATGTCACCCAGTAGCAAATTAACTGTTGTGAACAAACAGAGAAATTCTGTATCTAAGGGGGTTTCTTTGACTTACTTGGTCTGCAATGACTGAATTGGGGTCATGCTACTTATGAACCACTGTCTGAGTAAGGGCACAGTCTAGTTAAGTGCTTGGAACAACACTAAATATGTAACTGTTAGAATACACATTGGTTGTCTGCCCACATTGCTATTTGATTATATCCTACAAAGTGTTCTCTCTGTAAAAAATTATGTCACCAAGTTATCAATTCATATGATTTTACCACAAATCTTGCACAATTTGGTGTCTTCCTTAAAGCACCATTTCCTAGAATTGGGTGATTGTGTAATTATTTCAAACAAAAATTAAGTTTCTAGCCCAGTGGGTTGTATAGTAAACCTTGAATTCATTCCTTGATTATTCCCCAAAATCTCAGAAATAGCAACAAAAAGAATCTCAAATATCCCAAGCTCTTTAGGAAAAAAAAAATCATATTTTCTGTGTGTCTGGATTTTTCAGCACTTCTGCTGCACCAACTGCCTGAGCTTTCCTACGCAACAAGAACATTGATGTCAGGAAATCATTACTAAGTTGTCCCAGGAAAAAGTTTAGAGCTGACTCTGTGCTTTCTGCCTCTAGGGGCTGGAATAAATATTTGCAATCTAGATTTACTGGGAAAAAAGTAAGCCATGGCAGAACTTCCTCAGCAATAAGGAGAAATGGCTCTTACAGAACACTAGATGAGGGGTTTTAACCATTGGTAGCATAGTACATGAAGAGGACTGATGCATTTTACTGATGATGTAGACGCAGCAAGCCTTGACAAGCTCTGATCATGACATTGATGCCATCATACACATGGTGGTGAAAGAAACAGCAGCAGACACCAAAGAAAAGAATGTCATCTAGTAAGAGAAAACTGCAGCCTCAAGAAAACAGATTAAAACACCAGACTTTCATGCCTGACCCATTCACGCATTCTGAAGGTGACTGGAGCTCCTAAGGATGCTGGAACATTTTGAATGAGTCAAAGAAGCTGTGGCATGAAGAAGACCACAAATAATTTTTAGTTGTTTTTGACTTTTGGCAGTATTTGGGTACGCTTGCATTTTCCTCAGACACAGCTGGATTACAAAGCACTGACAATGACAAGGTCAAGAGCACAGACATTTAACCAGCTGCAATTATCCTACTAAGATGCTTCACAGCTCACATCTGGGGCTGGAACGGTGGCCCAGCATCACGGTAAAGCTGTCCTGAAACTCTGTCAAAGCAAAACTGTATATTCAACTACTACTGGAAGCAGTATCTCACTTTGTTTAGTTGCACTGATGCGTAACTTGAGGACACTGCTAGTCTTTTAATGGATCACCTGGTAACTTGAGGACACTGCTAGTCTCTTAATGGATCGCCTGCAGCCTAGATTGAAAGAAAGATCAAAACGGAACTAAGAAGCTCAAACAGAAACGCTAACGCTTCTAAAACAGGAAAACTAACATTGACCAATGAGTAAGACTTCATCATTCCTTCTGACTACTGCTTCCATAGGTTTCATACATAGCAAAAGAGTAGTTCAAGGTGACATGATAACATTACACTCACACACTTGAAAATTTTGCTTTCCTTCCTCTGATTCTCAGTTAAATCATCCTCACTAAAAGTTCCTTGCAAATTTCTGACTGTAATTAAATGAAAAACATGAAACGTCACTCGAAATGTGTATCAAAACCCAGTACTGTATAAAACAGGATTTTTAGCAAAAATACAACAGAAGCCTGTATCTAATGATAATAAATAGATAGGGCAATGTAAATACTTAGCAGAACTGGGGCCCAAGCCTACAAAATCCACTGAGTAGCTTTCCCAAAAGAACAGCTCCACAGAACTGAATTAAACCACAAAACTACCATTAGTAAAAGTAGTCACAAAGATTAGTATTTGTGAGATCAGGACATTTTCCCCTTGGATTCAGCAAAGCCCTTAAACATATACTGAATTATAAACAAGTGAGTAATTCCATCCCTGTGCGACAAGCTGCTTAAATACAACTGGAATGCCTAAGTGCTCTGCTACACAGGGATGCCATTACTCACATACTTAATGATAAGCACGTGCTTATTATTTAACTTTTTATGTTGCCATGCCTAAAGAGAAGCATACAACTAATTAATGTACAATTATGAAAGAGAGTCCACACCCCCAGAGCTTACTGCATAAAAGAGAATACAGAGACAAGAGAAAAAAGCAGTTGAGTGACATCTGTGAAACTAAATGTAATTTGAATCTGCCTTAATCTTATTTTACAGGTGATCAGATTGAATGATGACAGATTCAGCCTTATTTCACACTGGTTTGAAAGAGGAGAAATAGCCCACTTCTTTGGCAGAATCTTCCCTTTTTTTCCTGCGTGTCTTGACACTTGATCTGTACAAGATGATACCCACAAAGCGCCCTTCACAGATCCATTTAGTTAATTAGCTATATGCTGTTTTTCAAATTCTGTAGACTAAACAGCAGATTTGGTAAGCAAAAGGCATCTTGACATGCCCTGAATGCACTCCAATATTATTTAAGCAGATCCAGCAGGTCACACTACGAAGATTTTCACATGGTATTCCAATTTATTTTGACATCAATAAGTGCTTGTGCAATTTTAATTAATATTAATATTTTCTGGATTGCCCCAGCAAAGATAGACTTCATGAAATCAAGGAAATGAGCGACAACATCTGTGGTTTTCTCCAAACTCATCTATGAATCATTTAGATGCAACTTGTAACAATAGGGAAATTTTACAATCATACACATTTAAAGTCCATTTTCAACAAATACTAGGAAGGTAAGCATTAACATTTTCAACAGTCGTCTTCTGTAAAAAAACATGTATGCAAATAAAAGATGCACCAGTATTTTCTTCTAAGTAGGTTACAATGCTGTCATTCCATAGAGATTTTGACAGCCTATCTCTACAGCCTCTGACGTGTACTTTGGGATCCCTGCACAACTTTAGAAATACATTCTTCTATAAAAGGGAATAAAGCATACCAGCCTTGGCACAGATTGTCTGCAGCAGCAAAGCCAAAAAGTAAAATGAAAAAAAATTATAAAGTTATATTAAATGGCATACACTGCGCTCCACGAGCTACTACGTTTTAATTGGGTAACTTCCCACAAGAGGGCTATTACTGCACTTCTTGCATAAGAAGAGCTCCTCATAATTTCAGGAGGACTATAGCATAAATTAGAATTATAAGGGTTTTTGAATGTTGTGATCCTGAAGTTGGTGATCATGTCCCCATTAAAAAAAGTATACAAAATAAAAACTTACAGCTTTTAATGTGGCAGTTGCTGGCATCAATGTACTTTCTGCATATAAATCTAAGCCAATATATGAATGCATTGTTAGACTGAGGGCAAAGGACTCGGCCCCAAAGTCTGATCTTCCAGTCGTTCCTTGCTCAGTGTTTCACTTGATGCCAACACCAAGCATTTTCAAAACCTATTTTTTATTGCTGTCCAAGCCTTCTTTTTCCTTGATGGGATGAAACAATAACATGTTATCTAGTCAATATTTTTGCACATACAATATTTTGCAAAGTCCAAAATTTGCACTTCTCTCATTCCTTTCTTCTCTTTAGGAGCTGTTGCTCGGCCTGAGTTAATAACTACAAAGTTCTTTATAGAACTGCCTTTTAAGATTACCTTTATTTATATAGAAACTGCAAGGCTCTCTTCTCTAATGTTTTCAGGTGCTGCATCGCCTGAGAAAAAGAGGCCGAGGGGAGTCCTTATCGCTCTCTACAACTACCTGAAAGGAGGTTGTAGCGAGGTGGGTGTCGGTCTCTTTTCCCAAGTAACTAGCGATAGGATGAGAGGAAATGGCCTCAGGTTGCGCCAAGGAAGATTTAGATTGGATATTAGGAAAAATTTCTTCACCGAAAGGGTTGTCAAGCATTGGAACAGGCTGCCCAGGGAAGTAGTTGAGTCACTATCCCTGGAGGTATTTAAAAGAGGTGTTGACGTGGTGCTTAGGGACATGGTTTAGTGGTGGACTTGGCAGTGCCAGGTTAACGGTTGGACTCGATGATCTTAAAGGTCTTTTCCAACCTAAACGATTCTATGATTCTATGATCTTACATCTTTGCTTGCCACTGGGTTTCCTCTGTATTACGAGGTCACTTTACAATTACTGAATCTTCCTTTTTTCCCTTCTTACTAAATTTATTACTTCTTGTTATTCCCTTTACCTTAGTCTTAGCCTTTTAAGTTTGCCAACATTCTCCTGGAAAATAAAAAAAAGAACTTATTTGTTTTGTGAAGAAAACACTAGAAGTTGGGAGTGAAGATGTGTTATAGGGAACTTGTTTTAGATATGTAGGGCATCTGCCAGTTTGGTAGCCTCAGAAGACTTTCCATGGAAAGGAAATGCCCAATGGTTTTTCCCTCTTTTCCGCGTGCCTGTGATGTAAAAGGATGATGTGGAGTGCTTGACTGTGCTCCTACAGTAAGAGCTTGTAAACTTTTCGTAAGTTAACTACATTACATTTTTCTCAAATTAAATTGACATTCTACAGGAATTCAACTGCATTTATCATCCTAAACTTTCCACTTATCATCCTGACACTGCACAGGTGTTGGATTTTTTTTTT